AAAACTAAATAGTGTATAAAATTAAGTTTTAGTATCATTATAATCATATAAGAACTCTCAGTAGAAAAGTATATATATAAATATAAATATATATATAATTTTAATGGAAAGCTCAGTAAAAAAAGTATCCATACACGAGGTGTGTCTAAAAAGTAATTAGGCTAGTTCATTAAACATGTTTTTGTCATTTGATGAGAAATGTACATTATCTTCTTCAAAGTAGTTTCCTTGATAAGCTCTCTATTGTCGTAGGCATTCTTCCTACACTTAGAAACAAAATGCCACAAAAAAAATAATCATTTTCTACGGTTTCATAATCATCTAAAAATGCCTTAAGCAACATAAAAACTTGTGTCCCTGATAAAGCTTGATCTCTGCAAGTCAGTTTCAAATTATTAAGCGTTCTTATTGCATTATTTAATTCGAATTTAATTGCTGAATATGAGTTGAAATTAGAAGATAAAATAGAGATATAAATTTCAAACAGTGACGCGACATTTATAAAATGTCGCCAATATCTAAGAATCGAAATAAGTTTCATTACTTTTTAGACACACCTCATATATATGATTTTAACAGAAAAATTTTTTATATAATTATAAAAGTACATTTTTATAAATATTTGAAAAGTATTGTAATATGAAATCTTTTTTAAAATGTATATTTATGACATTGATAATTAATGAAAACTATTCTATAAATTTTTACGTTTTATCTAATTTTAACTTATATATTACTAATTGCAAATATAATGGTATATATCTCTAATTATCTAAGAATAAACTTTTGTAAAGCATTTCTTTTATAAAATATTTATTTATGTTAAATATAACATTCACAAAATTTCTTATAAAAGATATAAGTAATGCTTTGCCTAACATGTGTATAAAAGTTAACAAGAATTGTAATTTCATATGTTTGCACCTATAAAACAAAACAATTTAATAAATAGTATAATATGCGATGTATTACTGTGCAAAGATTTCAATTTTCACATTAGATACATTCTTAAAATAAATAATCATTTTGATTAAGAATTATGTTTTCAATCTGCACAAATTCACTATAAATCTTTAAATATGATTAAAAAATTAATACAATAATAAAGAACTGAACATGAATAATATAGTTAAAAAGTAAAATATTTGTAATCTATGTTAGCATAATTACGGTATATAACTTCCTTAATAATTGTTGGCCTATAAGTTAAATTGTCAATAAAATCATTGGTATAGACTAGGTATAATGTAAATAAACAATTTTTCATACATTATAATGCATTTAATAAAAATTAATATTATTATTTGGTAATATTAAATGTGGACATTAACGTACCACATTTAATGGCACGGTCATATTTCGTGGTAAACGAGTTGTAATAGCTTCTGCTATATCTTCTGAGGCTTGATGCCAAGAGTACTTTCCAATAATGGGTACTTCTTCCACTGGTAACTTAAAAGATACTAATAAGGTCAAACAAAGACCATCTCCATCATGATTTCCACTAAACTCCACCATTAATAATCCATGTGGTTTGTGTGGTGCCACGTCTGTTCCAAAGATTTCCTACATACATAATTAATGATTCTTTGCTAAGCTAAATATGTATATACATATATATATATATACAAGATGATTATAGAAACTTGGACGGAATACTGCTTTTTTCTAAGTGAAAATAAAACAAAAATAGAAAAGGAAAATATTGCACGGTATCCTGAATTCTAACTTTCTATGACCTTAGTATTTTTTACACATGTGTCGATGTACTCGCCCCGGTGCAATAGCATATTTTTTAAAATGCATCTATACTTGTCTATTTCATAAATTTCTTTTGCTTATTCTATGTATACAAGTATAAAAGTAGATGCTAAGATAGAGAAAACTGAAATTATATTTATTCTAGATATATATTTAAATTCAACACTTACAGTCATGAAGTTATGCAAGGTGGAAAGAAGACTACGATTAGGATTGATTTCACAAACAGGCAAATGAAGCAATCCTGTATCCAATGTAACCATGTGTAATTTGTTCCTGTGAATATATAATTTTTAAAATGCTAAAAAATGTTTAAGATATTTGCCATTAGTTTTACATAATGTAAAATCCACAATTGTTGAACAATATTATAGAAATATGCTAAATACATATTCATTTTGAAGAGCAATTATATTGTATGTGTAAAAAAACATCTTTAAACATTTGTAGAAGATCTATGTAGTTACAAAATTATTTTGATAAGATTGTAATAGTTTTTGATTAATATTTTGTTTAATTATATTATTTTTCATTAGTATTTGCAAGTAGCACAAATATTTATGACTAATATATTAATACTGATAGTTAATCTTTATATGGAAAAAGCATATGATAGGATAATGATTAGTATAATTAAAGGAATAATAATAAAGATTCATTAAAAAGCATGCAAACAAAACATCGCATTAGCAGTAAAGAATAATTTAAGTAAAGATATATAATAGATAAAAATGAGGATGTGCCATGCGATTTGGGTGTATCATTTAGTAATTGCAGATCAAAATGAAAACATTCTTAACCTAAGTGCAGATGTATATACATGTGTGTATATTACGTTCAATCCAATTAATCCATTGTCCACATTCACAGTCATAATTGGAAGATCTTCTTCATGTTAAAAAAACTATCACCATTGATTCTACTTAAACTGAAAGTGTGATTACTAAATGAAAAAAAAGCATGGCAGTGATATATTTATAAATGAATATACTTTGACAATAGTTTAACTTGTTGAATAACAATAAACTTACGTTGCTCTTTTTTTAGCAGTAATTATTATTTGCAATAACAGTTTGGAAAGTGGTTTTGATAACGGCATTACATAAGGATGCTGTGAACTGGTCTTATTCTGAATATAATTTCTGCCTCTTTCTATTAATGGAATAATATCATTAGATCTAAGTGGTAAGTCTTCTACATTATGTACCCAACGCGCTTGCAATGATTCTTCGTTAGCTTCATCCGATGTTTTTATATTACCACCAGATATATCACCTGTAAATACAAAACGAAACCACGAACCGCTTGCACATTCCACTAATATTAATGTTTTAGGTTCTATTATAAGTCCAGTTTCCTCTAAAACTTCTCTTTTCACAGCATCTATTAAATTTTCATTACGTTCAACTCGACCAGCAGGTAAATACCATTTGCCACTACAAGAAGCCTTTGCTTCTTGCATCATTAATACTTCATTTTTATCATTTATAACTATGGCAGCTACAATATATGTCACAGTTTTTTGACATATTGGTACATAATTTGTATCTGTAGTGGTGTAGACACCTTTTCCATCTAAAGTAAACACATGTAAACACATTCAAATAAATAAATATTTTATGCAGCAATACCTAATATGTTTTACTTATAATAAAAAAGTCATTTTCTCATAACTTTCTGTAAAGTTTATAATTCAATAAAATAAAGTACATGTATTATAGAAGAAAAATTAATTTTATTTTTATATTATTTATGTAAGTAGGATATATTAATAGTTATTTAATTATTATATATTTTTAAAATAGAATTGAGATAATATTTTTTGAATATTGCATACCATCCGCTTCATGTTGAACGGCATGTGCGATATACGTGTCATCATTTAAATTTTGTCCAGCAAGCAATAATCGAATTTGTTCCTCGAGTTTTTCAGACATTTTATTTATTTAGTAAATATTTAAATATATTTATAAGAAATATGGTGATTGGTAACTAAGATATATTAAAATTATTAATTCTGATACACCCTTGGTGGCATTGCCTTGATTTTTTAAGGTTGTAAACAAAGTGAAAGGTGACAGAGAAGAATGTGGTGAAGTTCCATGAATTCTTGACCTAATAGTTTAGAAGAGAAATTCCCTACAAGAATTAGGCATAGGCAAAACACAGCACAAAAATGACCTATGAAACACGTCTGAACGTTGTGTTGACATTATTTATCAGGCTAGTAAACTTTTCATATAAAGTTGAATAAAATGTTGTAGATTTTAACAAGTAGGATGTAATTATTTTAAACTGCCTTTTGGTATAAGATTTATATTTAATTATTAAAAAACCAAAATATTTAATAAACCGAAAAATGGATGCTTTAAATGTGTTTATTGTAATTGCTCTTATACATTGTTCATTATTTTTTTTTGACACAGTTTTCAAGGTAAAGTATTTAAATATATTATTATACGTTAACGAAATATTTAAATAAAATTTATGCACAATTCATATATTAATATACGTTTGTTTAGACCTGTTCACATTTTCCATATATATATTTTTTGAAAAATACTGGATTAGAAGTTCATTTAATGCGAATAAAATGGTTTACTACTATATTCAATCGAAAAATAATCAAATGGGGTATGGATCGGTCCAAATTTTGGACAGCATGGTTCAATACTGGAGTCATTATAAGTATTATTATTTTACCAATTGTAATGATTGCAATTTTAAGAGTAACATTTAATATATGGGCTGCTGGACCATCTGCGGATACTAAAAATTCAGCTGTTTTATTAGAACCAATGGTATTATAAAAATTTTATTTTGTATTACTATTTATGTTTATGCATAATTGTAATTTTGTTTTTTAATTATAGTTGCCTGGAGTTGATATACCATTCAATGAACTTGGATATTATACAATAACGTTAGCAATTTGCACTATAGTACATGAACTTGGTCATGCATTAGCTGCAGTCAGAGAAGATGTACAGTTATATGGTGTAGGAATGTTATTAGCTTTTACTATACCAGTAGCCTATGTTAACATAAATAATGAACAATTTGAATCATTACCACTACGTAATCGATTGAGAATTACGTGTGCTGGAGTCTGGCATAATATAATTCTTGCAGCTTTGGCTGCTGCAATTCTTGTGCTTTCGACATGGTTCTGGGCTCCTCTTTATAATCTCAATAGTGGAGTTTATATTAAAAGTATTACATCTGTGAGTAAACAAAAAATTAAGAGATGAATATACAGATGTTAGAACTTTGCATAACTAATTATTTCATCTGTAGAATTCACCTTTAAGAGGCCAAACAGGTCTTTTAGAATATGATATAATATATAAGATAAATAACTGTCCTGTTAAACACAGCGAAGACTGGTATCAGTGTTTATTAAATACTATTCATCGACCTGCTCCTGGATATTGTGTTAAACAATCTTTTATTCAGGTTATACAAGAATATTTAACAATATAAACAAGTTAATTTTTTTGCTTACTAATAAGTTTGGTTTCATTTAGGAATATGATGAATCAGTACCACCTATACAAAAGAATAATGGAGTAGTAAATTGCTGTACTTTGGATAGCGAGACAATGGGAAGTTTATGTTTTGAATACATCGAAGGGCCACAGGGTGCACCTCTTCATTTACCACCACATTCCTGTCTTCCAGCAAGAGCTATGATTAATCAGTCTCAAAATTATTGCCAAGCAAGCCATGAGTGTTCCTCTCAAGACACACATTGTATAAAACCTTCTTTAGATAATGTAACTAAGGTATGTAACAGTTAGTTTATTATAAATTTTGCAAAAAATATTCCATGCTTTAATGTTTTTACAATACTTTTACAGATCGTACAAATAAAACGTAAGATAGGAAAAGATGTATTGTTTTTTGGACATCCAGCTGACATTTACAGAACAGTTGATGTATCAGATTGGGTTCCTAAATACAGTTTTTTAAAGCCTAGCATTCCTGAATCTCTAGTCCTACTTTGTAAATATATCACAATGTTTTCAGCTGGACTGGCTGTTATTAATATAGTACCTTGTTTCTTGTTTGATGGTCAGTATATTATAAACATACTTGTTCATTATATATCGAATGTAATACCTTATAATAGAAATATTAGAGAAGCATTAACCCTTACAATAACAAGTATAGGTACCATACTTCTTAGCATAAATATAGTGTATTTACTTATTAATAAATATTATTATAATTTGTAACAATTTAATCTTTTTATATAATATTGGCGGTAAGGAAGTAAGAGAAATTAATGCATATTTTGCATTTGCATTGTATTTTCTTAAGATATCGCGGCTATTGTAAAAATGTTATATATATTATTTTATAGTACACTTAGCCGTTAAATTACACGGTATTCGAATTGCACGATTTCGGTTTAACACCGTTCAAAAAATGAAAAACAACTTCCATTTACATAGCATTTCAACTTAATACAGTTAGACAAATGTAATAATTACATTTTACTTTTTTTGCAACATTAGAATCACTAAATGGGTAGTAAAATAACAATCAATTTTTTCAAAAAAGTTTTAGTGAAGAAAAAGCTGAAGACAAAAAATAATTAAGAAGAAAAAGAATTGAAAGAAGACGTATACTATTTCATATGGATTTGTTACATTTATTATATATTTTCAATGTGAAATGTGGATTCGAATTGCACGATTTCAATTTACATGGCATTTTAAGAAAACCAATCTACCGTGTAAATCGAAGGCTAGGTGTACTTAAAAAGCAATAGCAAACGTTTCTTATAAATATGAGATAATCTAACAATCGCTATCGTTTTGCTGCTGCATCTGCGTCTAATGCTGGAAAAATTTGAAATATAATTTAGTTAAAAGAATTTGGTAAAGCCACTTAATTAATTAATTCATTCATTCACTTACTTTTACCATCACAGGCAACTATTTTTACTTTATCTACTATAGCAATTTCCTGCACCTCTCGAAACTCAACGTCATTAAGCATAAATGTCCAAACATTATCACAAAATCTATAAGTATTTAATTTTCCTGCCTAAAATATAAAAAAAAAATTCTTCATTTACACTATTATATTTTCATAGAAAATACAATAGTCATCATAACAATTTCATTACCTTAAATGTGAGTCGTGATTTGACTCTAGTAGCAAGTGCTTGATTAATTGCTTTGTCAAATTGTAATAATACTTTTATGGCAAGTTGTGGTGTAATTTGTCCATACTAAAATAATGTCTTTATTATAACATTTGCTATTTAAACTTATGTTTTTTTTATATCTTTAATTGTAAAATATATATTGAATCACAGGAGTATTCTGGAACATTCTCAGATGACAGCAAATTTAACTTGTTTATATTTAGAAAAATATTAAAGTGGAGTGCATTAAAAAATTAGTTCACAGTATGTCCAATCGTCTTAAAAGTATTATACAATACAAAAGACTATCTACCAAGTATTAGTTAAAAAAATATTAATTATATTTTCATAATATCTTGTGTAAGAACGAATACTCTTGTAAGGCTACTTTTGAAAAATTGCATTTCTCTAACAATAAAATTTTTTTGTTATAATAAAATTTATATCAATTGTTTAAAATTAACAATGTGGGAGTTTGAATATTCCTATAACTTACTGCATATACAAAAAATATTACAAAGATAACAAATTATCTTATTACACCTAACCTCAAAAATAGATAATTTTTTACTTATAATTACCTGAATCAATTCATCAAGACTTTCTTGTAACGTATTTCCTAAGGTTGTATTTCTATACAACTGATAAGACATTTTCTTTTAAATTATATCTAATACAATATAAATCTATAAAAAATATCTTTATTGAGAAGACAACGTAAACCAGATTATTTGTTGATACTACATGAACTTAAGAATCTATGACGCATGATTCTTGTTGCCAACTACAGTTTTTAGTAATAACGGAAATCATTTAAAATTCTAGGTTTTAAAGTGCAAGAAATATGTGCATTACCAATAGAGGGCGTATAAGCGTAACTGACCAATCATATTGCGATTAGACTACAAATAGAGATGTCTAGAGAAAAGAATTTAACATACATGTAGAAAATAAGTGCATCAATGTAAAGTAACCAATGAGAGTACAACTTACTGGAAACTAGAGAAAGGAGGGAAAAACAAAAAGTAAAACTGTTTCCTAATATCACTCGAGATGTATAAATTTAATGACGATGTGTGAAAAAATAAATTAATTAAAATCATGGTATGGAATGTTATTTGTTAGCCTATATCTTATATTTAAAAAATAGTAAAACATTTGTTGTAACACACACACTTCATAATTTTCTCACACGCAGTCAGGATGCATGGAAATCCGTCCAGAAATTAAATTACTCTCTCAAGTGTTTATGAATTTATTTAAATAATTATAACCAGAAGTTTGCACCGATTCGGACTTTTCATTCTCGGTATGATTTAGCATTGGAGGAATTTTAAATGTCTTTACTTACTATTTAAGAAGTTCTACGATGGCTCCAAAATACACCTAATTCAAAGCAAATACTGCAGTTGCACTAATCGGAGAGTTTCTTGTTTTTCTTTTGAAGAAAATTCATCCATCCATATCCACTTTTTCGAAAAGGAAACAAATCATTGTTGTGTCTGTAACAAAAAATTGAACATAACTATAAGTTATCTGCAACACAGTGATATAAAATCAAATAAAATACAATAGAATACAATGCAAAGAAAAGTGAATACTTACAATGCATTCCAATGGGTTGAAGATCAATGGCACCGTGGTGATGCATTTCACCTGAATCTAATAACACGTTATAAACGAATATAAGAAACTATAAATGAGTTTCTTATCGCGACCGAAATTATCTTATGCGGCGAACAACACTGACTCTAATTCGCGTTTGATTTTAATTTATTACTCACCCGATCACTGACTCTACGACTTATTCAAAGACTGCTCTGCACACAGTCAATTGAAACAAACAAAATTCACACTTTATTTTAATCCCGAAACGCGGTAAATTTTAAACCTTCATTGATGCACCGACTCTAATACGCGAACAGTCTGTGCAACTGTTGAAAGATAAAAATACAACTTTACGCGCGCGATACAATACTCCCGTACATTGCTTCGCGCACGATTGCAATTACAATCTGAAATAGAAATAAATAACAATATTATTAATATCATTATTATAAGTAAAAATTACAGAAAATTTTCTAGAATTATTGAATACAAAAATATACTTACTTCGAATCTTCATCGATGAATACACGATGGGTCTCCTATCCTTAGGATGACGATGGCACACGTATTAACTGAATAAAAGAAACTTTCGGAGTTTCTTTACCCGAAAAAAACGAAACTCATACGGCGAACAACACTGATTCTAATCTCCGATTTTTTATTATTATTTTTAACGATGAAACCACACAAGTACTTCATTGCAATGATGTTCTGAAACAAGAAAAGAAAAAGAACAATAATTATCATTGTTATAATAAAAAGCCAGTAAAGTTATCATAGAAATGTTTGATAGAAAAATATGCTTACTTTTAATCTTTATTGATGACTGCAGGATGGATATCCTACCCTTAAAATGACGATGAATAAAATAAAATTAAATAAATAAATAATAAATAATAAATCTGAAAAGCTGAAACATACTAAAGATTATAATACAATATTTCCTGCAAATCATTTCTGAATGCAGGAAACACATTAAAAGATATTATATATTATAAAAATATCACAGTAAAAATATTAATTAAAAATCTTTAAAGTTTTCTAAATAAAACAAAATTTGTATCAGCAAACTGAATAAAGAATAACTTAAAAAATAAACGGTCTGTTCTAATGTTCTAAGTAATGAAAAACTCTTGAAAGTATTTAAATTAAAACGAGAACATTATAAATAAAATTATTCAATAGTTTAACGCGTAGTCACACTTTTACCGGTCTTAACTTGTCGAAGGACGGAAGAGGAATAAGCATCTCTCTCAGCTGTTTTTCTTTTTATCTCATTGTTAGCTCGAGCATTGCTGAAAAACACAGAGACGTGTTTATATTATATGTCGAATGTTTAGTATTTTTATTCTCTCTCTCTTCCTTTATTTTTCTCCTTCTTCTCCCTTTTCCACATTTTTGCTTCTTTTCTCACACTCTTTCTATTTTACACTTCTTTACGTTATAAAAAAAGAAATAAACTTAACTCAACGAACAAGAAGATAAAAAATCAAACACAATTATTAGACTGAGTATATGTATTCGTACTGGACTCTCCCAATGTCTAAAAAACCTAAAAAAAAGTGAACAATAAGATTACATTAGTACAATATAAAGAAAATCAAATATATGAATGTGTGTATGTATGTGTACGAGTTACCCAGTTACCCAACTCATGAGATTTGGCGTGGAATCGACAGATACCGATTTTATTTTCACGGATATCTTTCGAACTTTTTAATATTTCGTTTTGAAAACACTCACGTATAAAATCTAGCTTGTAACTATCGTTTGATATATAATAAAAAGGTGTACGTTACAAGATATATTTTAATTACCTGAAATTAACGGGACGACGTAGCTTTCTTGCGATCTCCAGCACTGACGAGATGAAAAGAACACTGATTGGCTGAGTAGTTACAGTCTTGTATTTTGAATTTGACCATATAGAAATTCATATATTTAAATAAATAAAACAATATGATATATAAGATAATAATTAATTCATAGAGTGATATATCTTATAAAATCTTATAATATGAATTAGAGAAAGCCATTAGGAAAGTATTGTTAATCGATCGAATGTGTGAAATTAGATGAATATTTTCTTACTTGCAAATTCAAATTATTTCTAACGTCTTATACACCCACACAAGCTTGTCGTCGCACGTACGTAAACTATCTTTCTTCATGGCCACGTTAATCAAACGTGAGATATGGTAATTTATTAATTAAATATATATATATAAAAATCAAAAATCTATTCTATTTTTCTATTAAGTGTGCACGTTTCTTTTAAATATTCTAAAAATAATGAATAAAATATAGACAATATCCTTAAAAAAATTGATATCGCGTGCCATCTATGATAGGATGAATCTGTATTGATAATGAAAAATTTCGCGTTAATAAATCTGCATTATCGATTAGATACCAAATTACTGGTTCAATTTCAAGTGACCATCGATCATAGAAGCTTTCTTTTCCGTAAAGGTAAGCTTAAATTAATTATTTTTCAATTGTTTAAACAAAATGTAAAATGTACGTAGAGTATATTTAACTTATATTTAAACGATAGTACATGTTTTAAACATTACATACTAATTAATTTACCTACTTTGAATATAAAATAATTTCGAATTCGAAGTAATAACTAGGTTAGAATGTTTAAATAAATGTACTTTAATTTAAACAATTACGTATCAATTAACAGAATGCTAAAATTCGAAAATTATAATCTTAAATTCTATTTATTATGAATATTATTTTCGTTATAGAAAAACAACTTTTGAGAAGCTATATAAACAACATTAAATAAAAAAACTTTAATAAAGAATAACGTGTCAGTCTAACGGTGGATTTCGAAGAAGACGGTACATAGAATGGTAAATCCATGCTTTTAAACTACAATATACATTTTTTTGTTAATAATTAACAATCAATTAAAGTATATTGAACGTTACTAATATATTCTTATAATATTTTAGATTGTTCAAGTTAAAGTATATTTGTAATTAACGTTCCTGCTCAGTGATGACTTCGAGGATAAAATTTTCGTCCGATAGAATAGCAGATAGAAATTATTTAATATTCAACGTATATTAATAAATATGTAATGATTAATCCAATATATATATATGTCTAGACAACACTAAATATAAGTAGAGTGTATTAGAGTAGTGGACATATCTTAAATAATTGTTAATTAATCGTAGGAAATGTGTATTGTAATCTAAAAACGTGGATTTACCTTTTTGTGTATCTTCCTCTTCGAAGTCTCGTATTAGATTCAATCGTTTGTCCTCTGTGAAAGTACTTTTATTAAACGTTGTTTATATGACTTTCCACAAAAGAAAATTTTATTGATTTCGAGTATTACGTATGTTATACATATACAACCTTCGAAAAGTTATAGAAACAACATTTAATAAAAGAACTTTCATAGAGGACAACGTGCCAGTCTAACGTTGGATTTCGAAGACGACGGAGCTTCGAAGGTATTCTTCGTGCTTTTAGACAACAATATACATTTTTATCGATTAATTAACAATTATTTAAAGTATATCGAACACAGTTCTCTACTAATACTTAGAATCGTTTAAACATATATACATTAGTTTAAATATTACATATGTATTAACGTATTTTAAATAGAAAATAATTTCGATATATTTTTTATTTTTTGTTTTTAGATGACTGCTTTAAACTTGGTTTCATTACTGGGCCCAAAAGTAAATATAAAATGCTCCGATTACTTACATTATTTTTTAATCAGTTTTCTGTTAGATTTCAACGCTTAAATATCGATTCGTGTTACTGGCGAATAAAATTTAATTAATATTTATTAAAAATCGGGTCTTCTCAGAAGTGGTTACCTTCTCGTGGTTAGACCCGGGTAATGGTATTTTACTTTCTATGCAATGCATATCATATTTTATGTGCCATACATTCCATTGCAAGTGAAATCCAACCAAAGACCGCTTAACATAAATATTATATGATAATTAGTTTCTTTCATTTATCTAATTGATATCATATTTCAATTCTTTTAATTGTTTTTTCTGAAATATTTCCTTCATATTATATTTTACATCATAATACTCGATTTATTTTTTAGGAACCTTAATCATAAACATTCTTTCAGTCGTTTTAGACGTGTAGTGCGGTCGGTAAGCACGTCC